AATGCAGGAACAGATGAGAACAATGATGCCTACAATGGTTCAGCAAATGCAGAGCCCGGAAATGCAGTCAATTGTCTCAAATCCACAGGCGATTCAGGTTTTGTCTACTTTTGATTAGAAAATGGTTTAAAAAATGACTTAATTATTGATTTGCATGTTTTATTAGGCAATGATGCAAATACAACAGGGAATGGAACAGTTACAACGGGTGGCGCCTAATATATTCGGAATGTATGTCCCATTCATGCGCTATATTTGTCTGTAAATGTATTAATTGTGCTATTTTTGTGTGGAAAGGATCCCAAATCCATTGAATATGACATCTCAGCCGAGCTCTGAGACGAATACGGGAACGGGAGGGACGGGGGGGACGACTAACGCGAGTGCGACGACCGCCACCACAGCGAACAGCGCCAATAGCGTGAACAGTGCGGCGGCGCTCTCGCAAATGATGGCCCAAATGTTTTCGCCGCAGAATCCGCCGGAGGACAGGTATAGGAGTCAATTGGAACAGTTAGCGAACATGGGTTTCATGAACAGAGAGGCCAACCTTCAGGCACTGATCGCCACATTCGGTGACGTGAACGCCGCCGTCGAGCGACTCCTTCAGCCCCAACAGTAGTGATTGAGTTGATTGTCGTTGAATATAACATTACCAATGATTTGAAACAACAAAACTGATGTCAACTCTTTTTACTGCACTTATATTTTTATTTTTTGTTTTTATGGGATTTTGATTCTGAAAGTAAAGACAACAAAATATTTGTTTAAAAAAATTTTTCAGCAAATATTTAACTTATAATAAAATTTAGTAAATATTTAATAAATAAAATAAAAGATTACTTTTTAGTTGAAGATTGTAAGCGTCGGGACGAACGCCTGATTCCATCGATTTTGTATTTATAACGTTATGAATGTTTCTCACGATTCAAGTCGTGATTCATTTAAATACTTTTAAGTCAAATAAAGTTTTCTTTATACCAGTTATTCCGTTAGCTCTGGAAAAATGATTTCCTCGAAAGCATAGCTTAATATTAATTTAA